ATACTACTTAATTTAAAATAAGTAAGAACGTCTATAAAATAGGCAAAACACGAAAAAAAAAATAGTTATGTAAAAATATAGTGGGTCTCAACTTAAATTATCAAAGACTTATTTTTATGGCACAGTTATCACATACAACATTTATACCTATTATAACTCAATTGTTGTTTCAGATGCCAAAGCCTAAAACGATAAAATTTTAGCAGGCTACTACTTCGATATAGATAACAAAAATAATTAAATGATAGAGAACTATAAAGAAAAATCACAAAGATCCGACACAGAGCACCCCGACTCCGTGTGGTCTTCCCTATCCCTAGAGTGAACATCAAAAGGCGGAGCCAGAACCTCGTGTCGGAGGTATTAATTGGCCTCGCGGGCTTGCTCCACCCAGGATCGACATAGCGACAGTTCTGCGAAGAGCATGGAAGAGTCAAATTTAAAATGAAACAATATTTTTTTAAGCTATTGCACAGCTTTTAGCGCGGGCTTTGAGCGCGGCGAACGAATCAATAAATTCCGTAACGAAAATAAAACCTAACACCACCCACTCCGCCTACCACGCAAGAGGAAAGATTTGATTGTTTTTATGCATTGAATAGGCTCCTAAACCACTGAACAGATTTGAAAATTTCTTTCACTGTCTCGAAGCTTCATTATCCCTGGATGACATAGGATATATAAAATTTTCAAAAAACTAGGAATCCTTACTAAAACTTGAATAATGTAAACCAAAGTGTACAAAAATTACCTAAAATATTGTTTGCATCGCGTGCGCTGCTAAAAACTATTGATAATTGTATAAAATAATGTACTACGAATTTGCAGAACACATCATTATTTATAAAAAGTGTTGCGACAGTATATGTCTAACTATTATAGTTATGCCACAATAAGTATTCTTTTACTTTAAAATTTTGATTGAAATGCCGCCGCTAGAAAAGGCTCTTTATTTGTATCTTGGTATTAATTCTTATAAAAATAAATTACTTTATATTTAAGACTGTTTCAATATCTTTATATAACTTTTTGAATGATTAAATTCGGACATTCCATTCGAAAGATATCACAAGTTTAAAAATGTTAGTATATTGTAATTTAACTATCCAGAGCTTAGTGACTGACTTAGTAGTTCTTATCATTTTTGTAAATAATATAAATTAATTATATATTATTAATTATAATATATATTAATTATTATATTATTAAAATATTATTATTTATTAACATAAATATAAATATCAAAGAAAAAAATACTGCATAATTAAATAATTATAATCGCATAAGTTGATAAAAGATGCTATGCTATAGCTTTACCCCAGCTGAGCCGAGTGCGACAGGTTTTTTTTTTATAAAAATGTTTTTTTAATTTTTACTAGTTTGTTTCCTTCGTTTTATTATTTCATTTTTAGTTTCTAGATACTAGCCCGGCTTCGTACGCCATGTTATTTATAATTCATTTACAGAAAATAATTTTTTTAACATTTAGCATGAATATTATTGAATTAGCAAAATGCATTCAGAATACCATACAAAGTATTTTACTCAATTCGTTAGCGGGTTTTACCTAATTATCTGCCTACATAGCTACCTTCCTACGTACCCTACCATTACCTACCTATCAAGCTATCTACCTACCGCACGCATAATCAAACATGTATAAAACAAGCTTCGTTTACTTCATAAAAATTAATTAAAACATAAAATTAAATTATATACATAATTAATTAAAACGCAAATTATCAACAGCTACGAGCTTTTAAATGAAATTTAATAAATTATACCTAAATATATAAAAAAATATTCAGTTTAAGAACTTGTTGAAAACAAATTTAACGTAAGCTCAAAAAATAAATGACTTCAAATTAAATAAAAGTATCAAGTTGCGTCAGTTACATAAAGTTTCGCTGCTTCGCGCTTGTCGCTGTGTGCGTGAGCCGTGCACGTGTAGTAGTACGCCTCTGTACCTAAAATTGAAGCGCGTGAATTCGTAAACGCGTCCTTAAAGGTCAGCGCTCCGGCGAATCGATCATTGCGAATTCATTTATACAGCGATGATATTATGCCATAAATACATACATAATTTTCTGAGGTCGTGCCCGAGGTATAATCGCATTCATAGACGTAATAAAGACGGTTTATTTTTTTTTATTTGAATTGGCTCTATGCTTCTGGAACTTTCTATTATTTCTGAATCAATCCGTTTTTATTGGACTATGCAAACAAATGTTCACTTTTACCATAGTATGCTTTTGAGACACGTGTTTTATAATAATAATAATATCCGCTTTCCATTCACTACCTTCTTTTTATCATTTTTATGTATTTATGTGTAATAATAAATTATAATGTTCCTTATTGCGTAATGCTACTTCAATAAAATCATAAGTCTACGATAAATGCCAAATATGTTTTCAGTTATTTATATTTGTTTCATTTTGACTCTTAGAACGATGATTAAATTAAAGGATGACAGTCTTACACCAATTAAGTTTATGTCACCCTGAGTATATAAAATTATCATCAAGTTTTGTGTATGTAGGTAGATTATAGTAAAAACATCGAGATCGTTTCTAATTACGCTAAATTTCTCGAATAAAGCGCCCTCGGAACCAGTTATTTTATTTCTTTTAAATTAAATATTAATAAACTCACTTACAAAAGTTCATTGGCTTTTAAGGAAATCAATAAGGTTATGAATTAAGTAGGGTTTTTGCCTTTTAATTTTAAAAACAAATGCGTACGTTGCTATTGTTACTAAATTTTTACAGCTGCCGTCACTATTTTATGTAATAATTATTTTTGTGCGTAAAACGTATATTACCTCAAGTAAATCGATAAAAAATCTATTAGGGGGTAAATTATCGGGGGTACGTCTGAAGTCAGCTAACAAACAAATATATAAAAAAGTTCAGAACACTTTCCCTATGGCTTATCCCTCTCAACTGGGATGCATATCATCACGCTCAAAACACCCTGTGGCTTATCCCTCAACTGGGATGCATATCGCCACGTTCACAGTTTTCATCGATTTATCAACTTCGGTAGCTTTACCAGTTAGACCAGTCGTGTATTGCTACGTTGTCTAAGTACCAGTGATAGTGTTTACAATGGATATCCATCGCCAGTTCATGCCTTAAATTTTCCAACTACTAAAATGCTCGGTAGCTTAACCGGTTAAACCAGTTGTGTATCGCTATTAAACATTTTCTCAAATATGTTAAGTAATTGATTAACTGGAAGGTACTCACCAAAACTTTCTTTTTAACTAAAAGATTTTATCACCATTACGTATAGTAAGTATAAAATGCACTGTTTTATTTTACGAGGGTAGGTACCCAAGGAGAAAATATGTCGCCGATTGTTTGAACAGCCAAGCGCGAGTTTTCGTATTGAATCCCACTTCTGATATAAGAGTTCTAACGTTTTTACCTTGATTCTAATATTTTAACTATTACTGAACTTGAATATTAACAACTATTATAACGAAAAGTAGCACTAGTGGTTGTATCACTGTCCGGGAATGCAGCCGAAATCCAAGTGACCGCTGCTACATGCGACCACTTAGCTCTAGTAGATAACGTCATATGCCGTATACAGTGTTGCCAGCGCCAACAGTTTGCTAAAGGTCTATTTGATTTCATTTTTTTTTCGTTTCATATAAGGGCATTCATTCATTGCCTGCGGCAATGCTATTTTCCACGGGATAAAGAGATTGAAATGATACACCTCTTTTAATGGTAGCATCGTCTAGAGGTTGGTTAGATGGAATCAGCTATCACGCCCGGATCGCGTGATCCGCAATCCTACCGACCACCTAGCCACGTATGGGTTTTAATCCAATAATGTTCATTGGATAGTACGCTCTGCGGCTAAGCGATGCACATTGCCGAGATTATCTCTATTCGCTAGGTTGACCAAGCTTCGCTAATCCCTAGACGGGAAAGTCCGCCGATACTATGCTCATATTACCCTATTATCCTCGGAATAATTGTTATGTAAATAATTTGATTGTGTTCTCTTTTTTATTATTTAAAGCCACTAATAACAAAAAACCGGCCAAGTGCGAGTCGGACTCGCGCACGAAGGGTTCCGTACCATTACCTATAAAAAAGGCAGAAAGTCATGTATGTTGCATGGGAACCCCACTTAAATATTTATTAATTCTGTTATTTAGTATTTGTAGTTATAGCGGCAACAGAAATACATAATCTGATGAACTATCTAACTATCACGGTTCATGAGATACAGCCTGGTGACAGACAGACAGACAGCGGAGTCCTAGTAATAGGGTCTCGTTTTACCCTTTGCATATGTTTTTTTTTATATATATACTAGATATATAGGAAATTCATCAGTAACTTTAGTAGATAGGTATACAACGATTTTTCTCAACGGGAAAGTTTTGATATTCGACTACCATACTGGCTGAAAGAAATGTATATGTACGTTTGTTTTGTACAACAACTCTTTTCTTTTGTACGTCTAAAACTTCGCTTCGGATCCATATTTTTATTAATTATTTAAAAGGGTCCACGTTTTGTATTAATTCCGCTGGATGTAGGGGCGCCCTTATCGAACTTTCGAACCGCAAGGATGCTTATTACGCCCCCGTGAATCTAATCTATAGTACGGCTATACCTATTTGTGTAATTCGGTGGCTAAATTAACTAGTTATACCAGTGGACTTTATTCAAGGGTTGTGGTGTCACATTCGCTTGTTACGTCTTTGTTTTATAGATATCATTCCACTATCCGGTTATTGTTGTATGGATTCTATAAATATTTCTTACAAACATTTTTTATCCGAGATTGTATTTAAGAATTTAATTTAGCTTAAATTCTAGGCGCAAAACCAGGAGACCGAGGTTGCAATCCCGAAGCGCTGAAAGTTGTACATTTATCTGCAAACATTTTAAATTCATAGCTTAATTAATTATGATTTCATTGACTTTAAAACAAGCTTGAATATTGTTCCCAGTTAAATGTTAACTTTGTGTATGGTGAGTTTGTAATTTGAAATACACGATGAAGCTTTAACATCTAACTGAACTCTTACGCTCGCAAAACCACAATCAATTATATTAATCATCATAAATGCGCTCGACATTTCTAAAGAGAATCCGTTTCTGGTATAAGGGAGGTGGCCCCCGCGTTTCCCTTCATTGCTGAATTTGACAGTATAGATAAAAGCGATGTTAATTGACACGTCTCGTTGAACAAACATAATAGTGCAATTTTTCTCTATTACTATTTGTTTATAACATACGTTTAATAACTATGTTTTTATTTGTCTCAAACTATTTTCTCTGCTCGCGGTACAAATTTATTCCCTTCATTTTGCATAACAAGAATTAAAATAAATACTTTAATTAATTTAAAACAACTTAAAACAAATGCTAACGTGAACAAATCGCCTACTAGGTGTTTCCGTGCTATAATGCACATGAACACTGCGCATTAATCTAGTAATTCTATAATCTACAGGTATTTGTTTGGGCTACGGGCGTTTGACTTAGTTTATTTTGTGTATCCAAAATGCATATACAATATAGGATAACCTTTTCTCACTGTAGGGGTAATGTTTTAACTAAATGAAAAATTAAAATTTAAATATAATTTTTTTTTATCCCATAAGTATAAAATCGATTCGTACTCCTTTCCTTCCACTACTGATGTGGATCTGAAGATATCAGTGAACAGGTTTTATCACATTTAGGTCGTTCGTCAACTCACTAGTCAATCTAAATTAAACTACTTACATCAGAATTCAAACTACGTTAGATTGAGGTCAACAACTACCCAACTCGTAGTAAGAAAAGAAACGTACAAGCTATTAAAGACACGGATCGAGCGCAATCTAGGCATATCGTAGGTAACTCCCGGCTCCTTTGTCCTGTTCGCAATCTCCATAAACCAGCTAAACACCTACCCCAAGCTCCCCTCGCGGGCGTTCCTGGGTAAAGGGGGGCTTGGGGTGGCGGGCGCAGCCGCCCCGCGCGGTTTTACGAGTCTCAAAGCGCCTTATGATCTAGCGACTCTATCCTCCCGTAACTTGGACCGTCTCACCCCTTATTAATGTACAAAATCCCAGTTTGGCTCGGTGCGCACGGCACATGTCATTTAGACAGGTTCTAATCACACGGGACACAAAATTTTTTGACAGTTTTCAATTCGATATCGCTTGAAATTTAGAATGCGGATAATTACACTTTCAATGAGATAGATTATAGATATACTTTTTAACTATTTTATAACAAGAAATTCATAATAGTGTAAGCGTGTTTAGTAATAAGAGTATGCTTTAAGCTGGATCGTTTTAGTATGTTTCTTCGTTATTTGACAACTTTTTCTAGCTTATTAAAATTTTGGGTGTCTTTTCGTTCGCAGGTCATAATACGTCGCGTCGGGAGAGCGAGTTCAAGAAACCTGTTCACGCTCCCCAGAATGGCCGCATCCACCATCGACCGCCTTACCCCTACAACAAGGTATTTGTCTATTCGTTGCTGTACAGTAAGGAAATAAAATTATCTATTAAAAAACAGACTTCAAATATCTCACTCACTACATATTTTCTGCTTGATTTTGAGAAGTTCCCTGACGTATCTCCGGAGTCTAAGGTCTAATGCCAATGAAATCAATATGGGACCTAAAAGCTGAAAAACCTAGAAGCTAAATCGATCATTGGTTTCTGTTATTATCCCACGTGTACGGCGCAAAATGAGTTTTTTAAAATTAGATTCTGAGGCAAAGAAAAAAAAATACTGAATTGAGAACCTCCTCCTTTTTTGTAATCGGTTGAAAAATACGGTTACATAGAACACCGGTGTCAGACCGGCCATTGTTGTTAGACTGTGATTGATGTATTTTATATTCCGTAAAACGGAGTTATTTTTGGAGGATTAATGAAAACAGCCATATGTCCATTGGGGTATCATTGGATAAGTTAGTGATTGCAACCGTTAAAACTGTCCAATTCATACTAGACAAATGAGTGCTCCTCTAGACAGAAATAATTCGTTTGAATCGAGAAATGAAATTGAATCTCGTCAAAATAGCTACTACTTAAATAGAAGTAATAATTTTGTCGTTTTATCTCGGATTTCAATGGTGATTCCTTTGATGCGAAATTGGTTGCACTGGCAAAGTTATAATTTTTTAAGTGACTCCCCTAACTGCATCTTTGTGCCGCCACCGTCTCCCGTAGAGAGATCGCAGTGCTCCCGCCAAAATTACGACCGAGCGGGACGCCGCGCCGCGCCTCGTCGAAGTCTGTCGAAACTTTCTCTTTTTGAAAACTAGAGCGGTTTTCGAAAGCTAAAGCGTTTTTCGAAAACTAGAGCGCGAGGGCCGAAGGAAGCCGCCGCGCCGCCGCTGAGCTCGGAGTTTCCGATGCTACGTTATTATTGTGTAAATTCCGCTAATACACCGCCGAGCTAAGTTAAGCGCCGTGGAGTGGGGGGACGACTTAACGAACTTGTCTGCTAATTTTAAGGGAGATTGGCGACGTGAGAAAGTTCGCGGTTCGCGGTATGCTCCGCTGGGAAGTTTTATAATCAGAATCAGATGTTTTCGGTTGATTGGTTTGTCGAGCGCCGCAAAGGAATATTTGTTCCTTGTTCCTTGTCCATCGTGTTTATCATACACATACCCTGTGTATGATTAACACGACTCCCTTTTTGCGTCGCGTAATCGGATAAAAACACTGATAACTCGACCAATACATGTTAGATAAATTACGCATTCTGCACATATCAGACCTGAATAAATATAAAAAGATAGTTTTTTGAGTGTGGTCTGAGATAACTGCGACATAGGGCGTAAACAGTAGCCCAATTTTCAAAAGTTTGTCAACGCATCTGCATCCCTCGGGTGTAGCGAATGTCCATAGGCGACGATATTCACTTAACATCAGGTGAACCGTCTGCTCGCTGGCAACTTTTCACTTAAAAAAAACAACTCATTCTCTCCATAGTTATACATACATACATATGTAGTTGCGTAGTTATGGACGTACATAAGTACGAAATAAATGCATGGAAAGCCAAAGAACCTTATTCTATATTGATCCAGTACGGAACATTACTCATATTATTTCGCTTGTATTTTAGAATAGTTATCTATTCGAAGCTTTGACCATCAGTAGAAATAAATACACCATCAAATAGGCCTGTAGCTTTTATTATATGAAATGTTGACAAGCGAACAGGCGGTTCACCTGATGTTAAGTGATCACGGCCGCTGCCAACACATATAGAGGTTTGCAGATTCGTTGCGAACCATTTAAAACCGGAAAATTTCAACTATCCAACTATCACGGTTCATGAGTTACGGTCTGGTTACAGACGGACAGACAGAGCGGAGTCTTAGTAATAGGGTCCCGTTTTACCTTTTGGGTACGGAACCCTAAAAACTGGGTCCTGGCTTAACTCACTCACCGGACGAAACGCAAAAGTAGCTTCCGTGAGACCGTGGTACTTTCTCGGACGAGTCTGCACATTCGTGCAACAGCAAAAGCTGCTGACTCTACCTCAGTGAAGGATATAGATCTATTTTAACATGGTGTGGTGATATACAAAGACATACCAGTCAGATATTTGTTCATCTGTAAGCTAGTCTTCTACTCATTCTTTTAATATAGAATGTGTTTCAATGTAATAACTAAATGAATTGTTATCCGATTTAAGGACAGCACAACAGAAACGCCGCCATGAAATATAACGCCGCAAATAAATATTTGCGAGGGTCACAATCATAACTACGTTTAACGTGCCTCATAGAAATGTCTCTTCTTATGATTCCTTCACAGTATTTTTATCGTACGGAGTGTATTGTCATCCTTATACCTAATTTTTATTTAGCAAACCACAAATAGGGTAGTCAGAGATTGATAAAACATAAATTGTCGTTTAAATAGACGGGACTCTTTATTTGATCTAGAAAGAAACAAACAGTAAGACGTCCACTGTTGAACATAGGCATCCCACTTAGAACGCCAAAACGAACAACACGTAATGCGTTTAATAAATAAATACATAAACTGAATATCAAACCCCAAATAACTCTTATATAACGACAGACCATTCAATGACTATGGCGGGAAATAATTTAAATGTCGTTGGCAGTAAGAGAAACCTAAAGCCTCGGTGCCGCAGTTGATAAGCTATTGGCTTCGGTGCCGGGGCCGTGGGTTCGATGTCCACACGAGACCTATATTTGAGTGCCCCAAATGCAATTTGTTCCTAATCTGGGTGTTTATAAATCTACTAGCGAACCCGACAGACGTTGTCCTGTACACACGACTTAAATCCGACAACTTATAAATAAAAATTAAAAAATTCTTTATTGTACACCAAAAATGAAAATATGTAAAAGCAAATTACAAATGATTATAAAAGGATGTACAAAAGGCGGGTCTATCGCTCAGAAAGCGAAAGTTGTAGTGTACTAAACGAATTGTGAATTTAAACCATTCTCGAATCGACTTGAAGACACAAAATATTCATTAAATTCGATCCAGCCGTTTAGGAGGAGTTTCGTGACATACGCACGTACAGAAGAATTATCAAATATATAAAGATGTAGAGCATGCAATCAATAAGACAATAAAGGCAGTAGTGAATAGATTTTTATGGAGGTAATTCGTTTACGATAGTAGTGTTTTTGACAAACAATAAGTAAGTGTAATGCTTTTATATATAAAAATGAATTGCTGTTCGTTAGTCTCGCTAAAACTCGAGAACGGCAGGACCGATTGGCATATTTTGGTTTTGAAATATATATATGGCAGTCCAGGGAAGGTTTAATGAGAAATTATGGAAAAATTGCATGGAAAATTGAAATAGCAACAATTTTATTTTCCCATACAAACTGTTCCTACCTGTCAAACATTTTATGGGTGCGTTCCGAAAACTATTTTTCTATGTGTTCGGATTCACAATTTCCCTAGAAATTATTTATATGCCAAACAACGTTTGATGGATCAGCTAGTATTGAATAAAAATATTTGAATTTACCACCTATAGACTACATAGGCACTAATATTAGGTGGGGTGGTGGTCCATTGCGAGTTTGTGATGAAAATAACAGAATTCTCACTATGCTCCGAATTCACCAAGTACCTGATTAGTCTTTTGATATTAAACGGCGTATGTATATCTTGAGTTGATACCATCGAAGGCATCTTCAGATGAAAGCAGGGATACACATCTTGTATCTTGTTACAGACGGAGGGCCCCAATGCGACGGGAGCGCCCGCACACCGACCGCCCCCCCTTCGGATATCCAATGGCTTCCAACCGCAGGTTTGTTTCGATCTGTACAAGTTAAAGTAAAATAAAGTAAAGCCCTTACATGTCGCAATGCTGGGCAAAGGCCAACTCTGTACAGAGGGTATCGAGGTAGTCCACCACGCGGACCCACTGAGGATTGCGGACTTAACATATCTTCGAATTTTTCTTTCATTTTTATCACGAAAATTTGTAAGTTTCCTCGCGATGTTTTCCCCCACCGCTGAGCACGTGATAAGTCAGTACTTAAAATTAACTTATTTGCAGAAGTCAGGTTGTTCGAGTATATAGAATTAAACTCGAGCGCTTGGACAATGCGCTATCTATACAAGTACGCTAACCAATACCCTGTATGGTTTTCAAATATGTATACTAGTCTTATTTTCAAACATCTCATTTGTGTATTGGTTCTTATAACGCCACCCATGTAATCTTCCATCTTTCAAAAGCTATGGATATTTTTTCACAACATTGCTATTGAACAGGTGAGTGTTAAAAGTAAAGTAAAAGTAACAGCCTATACATGTCCCACTGCTGGGCAAAGGCCTCCTCTATACAGAGGGTATATACTGTATATATGGTATATATTGTATACTTTTTTATTCAAAGGCCAAAAAAAGATACATATATGTACTAGCGACCCGCGCCGGCTTCGTACAAGTAATATATGTAATACATATATTACTTGTAATATGAACTGCATCAAAATCCGTTGCGTAGTTTTAAAGATTTAAACATACATAGGGACGGACAGACAGCGGGACGACTTTGTTTTATACTATGTATTGATTATCCCTTCCTTAACTCTGTCAATAAAATTGAAGCAGTGTTTCTCAGTACCTTTCTACCCGATCCCAAGGAATAGCTTTGTTTGAGATCTAGAGCAAAAATAAAAGAAATAAAAGATAAACGCAGCACTACGAAGTCCGCAGCTATTGTTTTAAACTACCATTAGCAGTTAGTAAATGTGGACACAATAGTTCGATTTAAATAGGATCGAGGATCTCTGTAATTGGGATTGTTAAATTCATCTGTTTCAATAAGTTCATTGGAATTATAAGCCCAGTGTAATGGAAATTGATCCGGAGGGAGGCGGTCACCCTAAGTAAATACTAAGAGGCTCGTCTCCGTCGTTTAATTAGTGCGGATAACGATCATTATTAAACGTAAGGTACACAATAACAAACGAAGACAACAAACAAACTAAGAAAAACTTTTTACACATTCAACACTCATATTTTGTTTTAATTTAATGTTCATGCGGTTTTCACGAAGTTTCTCTTAGGCATTTTGATATTAAGATCATAGTTTCACTTCACAATAATCTAAACTTATATATTAATTTAATAAAGAGGAAAGATTTCTTTTTATTGTTTGTTTGTTGATTTATCTTAAAAACTACTCGACCGAATTTAAAAATTATTTCACCATTAGAAAGTTACATATTAACCGAGTAACATAGGATATTATATTTTCAAGGAGAAATAGAGATCCTCACCTAAAATGAAACAATGTAACCCAATATTTTGCACAATATTTTGCGTGTGCTGCGAAAACTATTAATGATATAGAAAATAGTCTTCAATATATCTAGGTATGGTACTCGTTTGCTTACAAATAAGCTATATTTTAATCCCGTAAACGGTCACGGAAACGGGAATTGCGCGAGTGGAATAAATTATATTTATATCATGGAAATTAGCCGACCTATCACAATTTTGCGCAGATGAAGTCGCGGGCGAAGTGCTAGTAAATAATCTAAAGAGGTACAATAACATTTTCAGAGGTTTCTTCCACAAAATTACTTGGCTTCTCTCACTCTACGTGATAAGAAGTACTAGTAGGGAACAATAGTTCATTCGAAGCACTTGACGCTGGACAACCCACCGTCAGACAGTGCAATGCTTATTGGATTCCGAGCATGAATCGCACGACTAAAACGGTCCTAAATTTAATCACCCACACGCTTCGCTTAGCGGGCCGTAATGTTAACCCGTAAAATTGGTTCAGCGACGCGCGCGTTCATTTTGCGCTTTATATTTGCGTCGAATAATACATTGAGTGCAAGGATGTGTGGAAGTGGCTGCTGCTGATTACTTAAATAATTTTGTAAACTTATGTAATTAAAAAATACCGGCCAAGTGCGAGTCGAACTCGCGCACGAAGGGTTTACCATTACCAATATCTATAAAAAGGCAAAAAAAAATCATGTTTGTTGAATGGGAGCCCCACGTAAATATTTTTATTGTGTTTTTTGGTATTTGTTATTATAGCGGCAATAGAAATACATCTTCAATACATCATCTCGAAATTTCAACTTACTAACACCGTTCATGATATACAGGTGACAGACGGACACACAGACTGACAGACAGACAGACAGACAGCGGATTCTTAGTAATAGGGTCCCATTTTACCCTTTGGGTACGGTACCCTAAAAAGTAAGATAGCAAGATCGCAGAGTTTCTTCCCGGTTTTTCTCTGGTCAGGTCTTATTTAGCGAACCGGTTCAATAAGAGGTTATGTTGATTAAAGAAATTTTTTGATGACTCCGTGGCGCTGTCGCCAAGGTATTGGCTTCGGCGTCGGGGGTCGTGGGTTCGATTCCCACACGGGACAACTATTTGTGCGACCTACAGATAGTTGTTTCGCATCTGGGTGTTTGTCTACGTGAAATTTATGTATGTAAAACGTCCTTACAACACAGGATAATGTTGTCCTAAAGTAAGGGCAATTTAAAAAAAAAAAATAAAAAAAAATATGAAAAAAAAAATTTTGACTTTGAATTGTAATTTGAATTTATGACGCCGCACTGTGCACACAGCCCGTGTGGTAGTGTCTGTTTCCATTCGCCTCGCAATTCCCGCGCACGCCCATTTCCAATCAATGCCAGACAAAGAGCGCTTCGCTTTCGGAATGTTCGAGAGCCCTCCGCGTTTTTGTTGTCTCGATTTCGTGACACTTTAATTTTATCTACTAGCAAATACCCACCCGCGACTTTGTCTGCGTTGCTTATTATATTGAGGATGTGTTTTATGTGCAGAGGCAAGAAAACTAACGTCACCGAAAACGTATCGCTCATGAAAATCATTGTTATAAAACTTTACATTAAATGAATATTTTAACTATGGTAAGGCCAACCAACAGTATTCAACAAGTGAATGGGCAAGTCACAGAAGACCGGCGTGAAGTGGCTGTTTTATATATATTATAATTTCTCAATAGAAATTACAATATATAACACATCATAACATCACAAAATTACAATAAATTTTATGTAATTGTAATTTTGATTGTGAACCATGATTAATTGTATTTTTTTTGCATGAGTTATGCAACACAATTTGTATTGTTAAGAATAAAGGAATAATAATAATATACATCTGCGTTTTGTCTGGTGAGTGAGGTAGCCAGGGCCCACTTAACTTAAAGGTGGCAACGCATCTGCATCCCTACGGGTAAATGTCAATGGGTGATGGTTATCACTCAACACCAGGTGAAACGCTTACCCGTTTCCCACCTTCTCTCATAAAAAAAATAAAAACATAACATAAAACAAAATATGTTTTGTTGCTAGTTAAGGGCCAAGTGTCTGAGAAAGATAATTTAAGTTAATTGAAATTTATCCAGTACTTTTTCCGTGATGCGCGCACAACGATCCTCTATCGTTCTATATACAGCGTGTCGTTATAACCCCGACAATAAATGAACACACGTCTAATGCTAATTGCCAATAATTATAAAAAAATGTAAACGTTAAAAAATCCATGTATTAAAATAAAAACTATTTATACATAAATTAAAAAAAATATTTTTCAAACAAACTAAATAAAAAAGAAACAAAATTTGTAATATCCTATGCAACTACAACTGACTGATTCATACATTCAGTGACTTTTTCATTCATTGCCACAGCGTCGCATGACAAATCTCTCCTCTTTCTCTTCTTATGTTTTATCTCTTTTAAATTCATTTAACACATTCATATGCTTTGTGCCCCTTACAAATGAACTTAACGTTACAGTTTTGTACGTAATTCATTAGTACGTATTTGTCCAATTCTTATAAATGTACCTTTTTTCCCAGGGTTCAATCGACAGCAGTCAACCGCCAATAGAAAGTATTTTAAAGGTAAGTTTAAGATGCATAACGTACTGTTTATTAAATAACATTGTAAGCTGCTAGTACTCAGCCGTATTTATCATTCGAAAACTCTTCCTACATAAGCAATCTAGATCGAAGGCTAGACTAGTATCCTCGAAATAAAGTCAGAAAAACGTGCTTAGAAATCTGAGATCAATAGACTATAATATATAAAGTCACATAAACGCTACAAGTCGTATTTCTTAGGTCAATGTGTTTTGTTTCCGATGTGCATAAATCTTGCGTTCGAAGTTAAGTTTGTAATATGTATTCATAAAGCCCTTCAGGATTATTATGTATCTTTACTTAAAAAGCCGGCTTTGGGACGATCTTGGTGACGATCCGCTTGGCGTAGTGAATTGTGAATTTGGCTCTAGCTCTGTAGGGTGGCTGTGGGTTCGATCCCCATTACTAAAAAAATATTGTTTGATGTACGTAATGTTCTTGTAGTGTCTGGGTTATATTTTTATGGTTGTATTTATTATATACAACGTGTTTATATTGAATTCGTTTAATTTTCAGGGTTTGTTTAACACACTTAAGCAGAAAAGTGTCTGTAGAACATGGGTCATATAACCCCGAATATATAACATTTGATTTTCGTTTAATTGGTACTCAAAAAGTCTCTAGTATAATGAAACCTTACTTTCACGACGTTGCCAGACTGCTACTCATTCATTTACGGTAGAAAAGTTTTAAAACTTAACAGACTTACTAAACTCTGCAACCTACTACTATTTTTAGTGTTTTTGCAACCAATTTGAATATGCGACTTTGTACAATTTCAAGCAAAGGCACGGATTACGGAGTACGAAATTTTGTTATATTTACCGTATGAAAAATTTAAAAATAATTTATTTAAAAAGGAATTAAATTAAATTCAACAAATATCAATATGTCATTGGGTTACATGGTTTCGTGTATCCGTTAAAGTTATGAGAATCCAATAAAAACACGTTATATAAATATTTATTGTAAATACCTACATACATAAATAAGTTTATATGTTTTACTGTTGCCTAGTACCCATAGTGTGTAAGATGGCATTAGTTGGAAACCAAATAACCTTGTGTAAGATATTACTTTGTGTTGCAAATATTTGTGGGGTGCCGGTGATCAGTTACCACTAGCCCCTTTGTTACCTTCATTAAAAAAGTAAAAAAATACTACAAACATCTAATAGCTAGAGGTATAACGGCAATATCAATGGTACTTTAACGAAATGTGCAAGCTATACATGTCCCACTGCTGGGGAAATACCGCTTCTGAAAGAGCGTAGTCCTTCACACTATCCCACATATTGGATTCGAAATATTTTGTTTTGATCATTATTTCGAAAAAAACAATGTTTTCTTTCACCGCTGAGCTCGTGATAAGCATAGCATTTAAAATTGCAATTTAAAAGTTCATTGGTGCCAGCACCGATACTTGAAATCCGATTGCTCGAGTATATTGGATTAAATGCGAGCGCCCGGACACTGAGCTATCACGGCTCAGTTCTAATGCTATCGACTAGATCCGATGAAGCGATTTCGCAAGCATTCTAAGGTAATTGCATCGTACCGTTTCACGGAACTTGAAAGAGGCTTAATCAGTGTGAACCCCGGTTGTTCGCTAGTCGCCAAACAGTTGCAGCTTTCGTATACATACGTCTCGGTACAGACGATCGAAAAAAGTTACTTGTTGGCGTGTAGGTAAAAAAAGTTACAAGTGGTTAGTTAAAAGTGGTTGCTCAACTTTTGCAAAGATTCTCTCTCACGTCTTTGCAAACCACGTATTTGTATGTGACTTCAGTTTAAAGTTGTTTAATAAATCATATTTCACTAAGTCAACACGAATTTATGAAGTTATTACCCACTGTACTATTGACAATTCAATCCATTTCACGTATATATTTTGTAACATACTCTATTTAGGTAAGAAACTGATTTGTGACAAATTAAAATCGTAGCCTCTTGCGATTTTAAATTGCTTTCTCATTGGCTAATAATTTTCTTATCGTTTCGAACAAGGCAAATTAACCGAATCCAAAGCTCTCGCGCTAACGACTAATCGAGAATTCACTCCAATGCTAGTTGGAATTAAAAGTTTGAAGCTAAATAAACGAGATTTAACAAGTTGTTTTAGTAGTTGAAAGCGACGTTGGTTTGTGCAAAATGAGTTTATGCGATTATAGGGCTTCTGAAAGCTTATTTTATAAAAAATGCTCCACTCTTTACTGCGCTCCCTTTAAAATGTATTTTGTTTAATTGAATCTCCAGTGGATTATGTTTTACGTTAAGATAATGTGAATATTTTTTTTAATTTTGAATTTCTCTTCCAAAGGAGATGAAGTCCCTGCCTACCCCGTTGTCAGTAATAGCCGCAACACCCAGGAAGGAACTAGAGAACAAGTTTATCTTCAACCCCTACACTAATAAGGTGAGCGTTTCTTACAAATATATTTCATAAGTTCTCGTTCTTTTAAAATTTTCTGGTAACGGTATTTTCATGACCGTAAGGAGTTTTTATCTCTTCCTTTCGTAACTTCTCTTTCTTGTTTTGGTTTTATGGCGACGGTATTTTGAATGTTCCGTAAGGAATTTTTATCTCTTCCTTCTTTATTGGCAGGCATATATACAAAATAATAGATTTACAGTATGTCTGTCGGAGTAAATACAGGGAGACTTTTTAGGTGTATCCATTTTTTAAAATTAAATTCTAGACATAAATAATGTTATATAAAATGATAAATATTTAAAATCACTCATAATTAATTAATTACATTCATTTTAACTTATCTCAAAAAGGGCGTGATTTATGGGCAACCCGTTTATTTTACGCGCGATCATTCATAACTAACACGCACGCAAGTTCGTTTCAAATGTCTACGACGCATTTATGAATGACTACCGCATTGTCAACAAGTTTTGTATTTTAGGGAATAGTTTGAAAAATAAATGTTTGTTTTTATTTCAATAAACGATTATACTACCGAGTCTAAACCTTTTGTATGAATTTGGGCACCTTTAGAAAAGCCACCCTGTATAAACAGCTGTATATTGCTTTAACGTTTATTCTTCCCTCTGGCGCCTTATTGACGACCTCACTCGTTTATTTTGGCCATGAATGTGTAACAATTTTTTTGATTGATGGATCATTTAATAAAACATATATTTATCTGTCAGTTACTTTTGCCCATCAATATACAATGCTGAATATCGCTTTATTGTTTATTCGACTGTCTGGCGAGTAAGTAGTCAATAACTACCTAAGCTGTTTATTTGTCTATCAATATGTGACCCACTTTATTGAAATGGCCACATTCGAGTGGAATTCAAAACAAATTTCCACTTTTGTGCCATTGGGCTTCATTAAAATTCATCTATGAGCTTTTGCGTAGTGGCGGGATTTTTCTTTTCGTCTTGCGTGTGTAGTGTTAGAAGCAAATTCTTACGCTAAATCAAACAACTATAAAGTTTTAACTTTGTTACAGATCCCTCTAAAACTATACTATATTTCTATAAATCAAATTCCGTAATGAACCACTTACATCGATTAAAATAATATAAAGAATATTAGCCGATATTAAATTGAAAATTCTTATAGAATAATAATTTTGCCGTATAAAAGAACCGATCGACGATTTTAAACATGAGTTAATAGTCAAAAAGGGCAGAAATAATTAAATAAAATGTAAACGCAAAGAAAATTGTAATAAGTGTTTTTAAATCATGTCCTGCGACCGATAATTTTGCATTTATAATTTTTTTGCCATCATAAAATGTATATTTTGGGGGCATAAAAGCATATATTTTGTGGGCACGTAAATGTTTCCTTACATCGATGATATACGGAGATATATTACACAGCGATTCGGAGCTAAGAAAATTCCAAATTATTAAACTACGGTTTTGGTTTTGGAGGTTAACGCAAGACTTCTCTTCAAACGCAAATAATCAACGTCACTGTCTAAGCTGACTTTACATGATAACCTTTAAAGTTAATTTAATATCATACAGCTATAAGATAACAATAAAATTGTTTTATTTTCCTTTCCTCGGGAATATCTCATAATATTTTCTTTTGTTATTCGGAACCTATCTCAACTACTGAAGATGGAAATAATGTCGAATAACAATGACGTGGGTCCTTTATAGTTGTGTTGCTATTAATAATATAATATTGCAGAAATAATTTGACTAATGGAAAATCATATCGTATCAATTTCGTAATGTATCGCATTTTAAAAAATGTTCCTTGACCGCAGAGGCGCTGAAATATGCTACATAACTGTAAGGTATGCGGAAATTTATAAATAATGATAAAGTCATCTCAACCGATAAATGTTTTTTTAACAGGCAGACTATTCAATTCAATTCGAAACAATTTTTTTAATGTATATCTTATTTTAGAGTTCATTCATAGCTAATGACGGACCACCACTTTTTTAATTGCCGTTAACTTCACTGTTGTCTCTGTTGATGATAGCAGCTAGCTTAGTACTACATGTATTAAGTGGTGATAAACAGCAGTATATCTTTATGCAACTGAGGTCTTTTTTTTTTTCTATTCATAGGTGCAAGAGAATCCCCAGCTCACCAACAACGATCTCAAAACGCCAATAACGAAGCCCGGTAAGTGAATTCAAAGCTATGCCACGTGCTTTTTTTTTTCTTTGGGTCCAACCGAAGTGAAAACAACGGTTCGATGTTATGCTTTCCGGTTTGTTCCTGTACATGGCAATAATATTGAACTGTTGGTAGAAATCGATAAAATTGCCCAAAAATGGTAAAACCAATTGACTTTCCACCACTGAATGTACCCGTTAAGTCGATAGCCAATTGTTTTGGTTTACCGCCTCAAATTGTGTAATGGCGTATCGCAATTTGAATTATTCGCGGGGACCGGCAGCGAAAGGGGAATCCCTCGTAATGGTCTCGAGTACAAAGCGCTCGAGAGGCCCCCATTATGTCGTTGAAATCGTGAAAAGCCCTGCGTTGGTATTGAGGCGTAATCGATCCTGCGAGTGGTCATGTCTTATCCGAGGATCTGCTTTTAGCTACTACACGGGCTTTGTCTTCGGAGTATAGTATTTGTAAAAAAATTTAGGGTAATAAACGGAAGCGCCGTTCAGTCACTCTTTAAGGCAATTAATAATTGTTGTAAATCGTATTATGAGCGGGAAGTCGATGGATGCAGGTGGCTCAGGATGGGATTGTGCTTCGTAGTAATTTGTAAGGACGGCCTATGTTCACAAGTGGACTATGCGGCTGACATGATATTATCCGTATATACATTTTGCTGTTGCCGTATCTGTACCTGAGTCATACAAATAAGTACTAAACTGTTTGAAATACATTACCTGCTGGTTAGGTTAAGTCAATTATTACGTGTAGGTAATACAAATACTTGTTTGTATAACGTGAAATTCATAGTTCCGGATGTGATGTAGAATCTAGAGTCTAGACAAACAAACACGTCTGGAATTTAACAATTTATTTTTTTTAAATTTACAAACGCAAAGATATTGGAGTAGATATACAGGGAGGCTTTTCTAAGTGTATCCATTTTTTTTATTAAATTCTAGACACAAATAATGTTATATAAAAAATGATAATGTTTAAAATTACTCGTAAATAATAAATTACATTCATTTGAACTTATCTCAAAAAGTGTGTGATTTATGGGTAACTCATTATTTTACCCGCGATCATTCATAACTAACACGCACACAAGTTCGTTTCAAAAATATACGACACATTTATGAATGACAATTTTTTTGAAAAAAAAAAAAAACAATGTTTGTATTTATTTCAATAAACGATTATGCTACCGAATCTGAACCTCCTGTGTAAATTTGGGCACCTTTAAAAAAGCCACGCTATATAACTCCAATATCTTGGTGTTAAAAATATTGAAAAAAAGCAAATATTTTTAGAATTTGCTTTAACGTTGCATATATTTAAAAAAAACTTTTAATAAAATCATAAATTAAAGTATCTATAATCTATATAATAGCAATCGGTATGTTATACAAGTTTAGTCTATGATCTTTGCATGACGACAAATTTGATACTGCTCAATGTTATTAAGCTAATTTCCGAAACTATGCGATCAAATTCCAAGCAACGGCTTTCGTGAGGGCGCGGCGATAAAAAAGCTCCACTTCTCTGCGACCGCCTACTAATTGGCCCCCAACTTGACCGCCTTCGATCGAACTGGGAAACCACTCCGTGTTTAAGATTGTTAGAGGGATTCGACTTCAGATTCTATTTCCTTTCGAGTTTTAAGAGCCAATGTTTACCCATACACGTTTTCATATTTATTTCTAGTGGAGCTGAGCCATGCCTAACTAATTAGTATTTTTTTAAATTAGTGACAGCCTCGTTTGATAGAGACCAGAACTCCTTTCCGTTTGATATCTTTACCTCTTAATACAATCTTACAGTTACCGTCCAGTCAGATGCTACACAAGTAACTAGCTTACTAAGGTATTAATTTACTAAACGTTTTAACCCGCGAATCCACAGACAGGCGGGTTGCAAGATAAATACAATAATAAGACGGCACATTGCAGGTTTCTGTGATCGATGTGATCTTCATAGGTCTGATGCTTCTTATGTTATTTATTACGTTTCACTGAAATTATTTTAATAATTTTGTATCAAGTAACTTGGAACGTTTACTGCTGTTACATTGTTAATCATACGCTTCAAAAAACTTTCTCTCATTTATTATGCTCATATTATATATCACTCGTAAATTTACCGAGATGTCGAAGCGCTGAATTTAATATTTTATACGGCAAAAAAATTTCTTCAACTGTAATTCGAAGTCTGTGTTACTCTATTTAAAGCAATAAATCGGGTTTAACTTAGTTTTATTCAGCGAAAGGATTCTTTCGAGTGAGGAGGGAACTTTCTAAATTGGCGACTTCGTATGGAAGAGAGAACTTTGAACTACTCCGCATTTAGGTTTCTCGAGCTGTTACGGTGGAGTTTGGAATAGTGTGAAACAAGTGTGTGCTTACCGAAAGGCTTTTATTAAAACACTGGTTGAATTTTTCTAATCGTTGCAAACATTACAATGATTACAAAAACAATGGCTGTTGAAATGCCTTAAATCAATAGAAAAAGATTTCCATTCTAATATTATTGCTAAGTAAATTATAGCACTTTTCTTATTGTGTTTATATATTTTCTGTTGAAATATAATTTCTCTTCTATTCTTTAGTTGCTTAAAATGCCTCGGCTCTGGAAAACCCTCTAAAAGAAGCCACCGTTTCTTTTAATCAATCACGTAAATTATCTTTTTGTTTATTATACTGTTTTGTTCTGTTAAGCGGGTTGAAGGCTGTTTCTCTAATTTGTTTAATTAAAAAAAAGGTTTTTGAAGAGCGTCATTTCGGTTTATTTATTTTCGGTCGAAGTTTACTGTAACAATGTAAATTGGACGAACGTTTCTTTAACGAATTCGATTGCCTCGCGGGAGCTTAAACTCAAGTTATTAAAAGCTCATCACATGCCCGACAGTTCAAATCGAATGACATCCACGATAAATAAAGATGGACGATTCCGGGAATTTGTCCGCGATATAGACGATAGTGCGGGGACGTTGTAGGGGAGGCGTGATTTAACGATGTCGATCCTTTAGTGCATTTCGAACTGCGTCGGTGGCATTGGCTCTTTAATTGGCGCCTCGACGCGGCAAGGCGGCAATGGTGCGCGTGTGTCGAGTTTATAGTGATGTGTCTTTCATATCGATATAAATATGTTATATCTCTAAATGTTACGATGTTTGCAATATTTGTAGGAATTTGTCGACTCGTCTTTTTTTCTTTCTATATATGTGTTATTAAGCAAACCGCATTCGTGTATTTGATTTATTTAAAACAGGAATAGTATGCTATATATTTATGTTGATTTTTTTTTGTAATAAATCAAGTGTGTTATGTTACAAAATATGCAACCAATAATAGTGTTGTACAATTAGAGTTTCGTTCTTTATCATACCGTTGTATGCGACATTAAACTAAAACAGCGCAAGCTTGATACCCATGTAGGTGGATTTAATAATTCATTTTGCCCCGCTCTGGCCGGACTGCGACTAAATAAAAGTCGGAATGATATATTTGGGTAGGAGGCCGTTTACACGTATGGCGTTCGCATGTCAACGGTCAGCGCCACCTGTCGGCGACGTGCGAATATAAATCATTCAAATTGCGCTAAAAAGAACATATTTGCGTACAATATTTCGCGCCTGACGCCATTCTCACAATAAATAGTCGACAATATCTCATTTTAATGGGTTATTTTTAATTGGAACAGCCCATTTTCGTGAGTTTTAGTTTGCTATTTCAGTTTTAATAGTCCTTAACTAAACGCTTTTTAGGGCGTTTTCTGCGTTCGCTGTTCATTGACCCACTGTCAATCAGTTTATTGACTGGTATATACGGCGCGGTGAATTATGCTGACGCGACGGATTCGATGTTCTCGAGCGCCAAAGCTTTGTGTGTTTCTCAGATAGTTTTTCCGAGAGAATTCCTAATATTCTCTTTTCCCCTTAACCGATCGTGATGGGTAAGAAATCTTGATGTCTTAAATCATCTTCCTCACATAGTCAGAGGTCGTATCATCGGCAGCGTATTCAAACCGACCTACATCATTCCGGCCATGTGTCCACACGGACTTGGGCGCCAACGGATCAATTGTGTGTGTTTTAATTGAAAAATTTGCACAGTCGCCGTCGATGCCGCCGTCTCGTGACTATAAACTCGTAAAACATGAGCGCCTTTTAACATATGGCGGTCGCCGTTCAAATGATAATGTCCACGACTACCGCAAAAGCGACGACAACATACGAGCCTGTTCACTCTGAAGGCAATGCGAGAGGGACTTCCAAATGTATAGAACTGTTATAACACTGAAGAGCTTATAAGAGTTATAGCACTGAAGCTTATGCAGTCAAACCAAATCTCGTGACGGGTGCTAGGACTAACTTTGTGGTGACGACCCTACGCAATGCGGTGGGCCCGCATCAAGTAAGCGGGTTGTGGCTGGCCCACGATTTCTGCGTTCGGTGTAGCTTTAATAGTCTACGGACTGAAAGAAAAGGCATCGGTTAAAGTGAAGTGTTTTCAGGTGCGATTTAGTTGTAAAAATCATTTAGTTGTAATTCGGTTATACAATCGGTCAATGTGCAGTCAAAACGATGTTTTCTCACGCATTAATGTTTGATAACTTTAATTAGGGCACAAGTCCTGATAACTTTTTTTTATGTTAACAAAACCGTTTCGCTTTCTGTTTGCTAATAAACGTAACATATAAATTATAAGCATTACTATTTATAACATGATATTTAGGGAATGAATTCGCACCCCACCTTGCACTTTATTTATGAAATCAATATTTCTTTAATTACTTTAAAGTATAACTTCTTACTTCTAAATTAATCCCAATTGATAAGAATGAAGCAAACACGGTTTGGACTAAAATCTTCACTTTACTTGATTCCATTTTAACAACTCTTATCTCTATTAAAGTCATTCGCTTTTGTGCATTCTTTGAAACGACGGAAAGGCACGTTGCTCTCGCGAACTAATTAATTAAGAGCGAAGCACAGTTTTAGAGTGGGC